CCAGGGGCACTGGCCACCACCAGCACCAGCTGGAGCAGCCTCAGCCCCTCAGCCCCCACAGTGGGACCCTGAGGTCAGCACACGGACTCCAGGGAGAAACCAGCAAGGCAAGGACCCTCTGGAGAGTCTGGGCCTTGGGCTTCTTCTTGAGAGCCCTGGAGAAGAAGACCTGAGGCTTCAGGCTGTGCCCGGAGCAAATGGAGCCCCTTGTGTGGTGGAAAGAGTGCAGTGGAGCCCAGCTCATGCCAGCAGTGCCATGGCCACAGCACTGACCCAGCCCAGCCCAGGGACCAAGGCCCAGAGCACTGAGGCCTCACCCGAGGCCCAGAAGGGGAGGGGAGCAGGAGAAAAAGAGCAGCTCTCAACAGGCCAAATGCTGCTGCTCCCTGGCACTGCTGCTGTGCTGGGACTCTGTTTCCCTGTCCCTCTGCACACAGGCACTGCCCTGCCAGACTCATCAGAGATCTCAGAAGATTTAACTCACAAACACAAGTCACTGAAGGATCCTTGACTTTGTTTCAATGCATTCCTCATTTACCCAGATTATAGGTCAAATTCAAGATGTAGACAGTGAACCAGACATGGGGTGAATTCACTGTACACAGCTTTATCACAGAAGAAAAAACAACATGAAAACCCTAACCCACCACCACAAAAACCTGAGCAGGCAGGCTGGAACAAGGAGTCCCATTCTGAATGCTCTGGAAGAGAAAACAGGCTGTTTGTGCCTTCAGAAAAGCATCCAGTCATCATTTTCCTCAGGGCATCCTTGAGCTCCTGGTTCCTGAGGCTGTAGATGAGGGGGTTCAGTGCTGGAGGCACCATCAACTACAGAACTGCCACCATCAGGTCCAGGGATAGGGAGGAGATGGAGGGGGGCTTCAGGTGGGCAAAAGTGCCAGTGCTGAGGAACAGAGAGACCACAGCCAGGTGAGGGAGGCACGTGGAAAAGGCTTTGTGCCATCCATGCTCTGAGGGAATCCTCAGCACAGCCCTGAAGATCTGCACATAGGAGAAAACAATGAAAATGAAACAACCAAAACAAAAACAAGCACTAACCACAATGTGCCCCAGTTCCCTGGAGTGTGAGCAGGAGAGCCTGAGGATGTGTGGGATTTCACAGAAGAACTGGCCCAGGGCATTGCCCTGGCACAGGGGCAGGGAAAATGTACTGGCTGTGTGCAGCAGAGCACTGAGAAACCCAGTGGCCAAGGCAGCTGCTGCCATGTGGGCACAAGCTCTGCTGCCCAGGAGGGTCCCGTAGTGCAGGGGTTTGCAGATGGCAACATAGCGGTCGTAGCACATGATGGTGAGGAGAGAAAACTCTATTCCAAGGAAGAAGAACAGCAGAAAGGCCTGGGTAGCACATCCCTGGTAGCAGATGTGCTTCATGCCCCAGAGGGAATTGTGCATGGCTTTGGGGACAATGGTGGAGATACAGCCCAGGTCTGTGAGGGACAGGTTGAGCAGGAAGAAGTCCCCGGGGGACTTCTATGGAAAAGTTCATTTTCATCACTCACGAGTCTAAGGAGTGTGGTCTATAGAACAGAGGCTTAGCATGTCCTCAAAATAGTATTTGGGGTTTTTTTATTTTCCACCATCATCACTTCAGGGGCTCAAATCTTCATTGTTATGTTGTTATTGTTGTAGATGTTCATCTGAGGCTTTGAAAGCCTCAGTTTTATGACTGAGAGTGTGAAGAGACAGGCAAAAGGGCTCAGCTCTCTGAGGCTTGGTGCAGAGCCAGGAAAGCAGCAGTGTCCCTCAGGCNCAGCTCTCTGAGGCTTGGTGCAGAGCCAGGAAAGCAGCAGTGTCCCTCAGGCAGTTCCCCATCTGCCCTGTGTTTCACCTTGTGCTGCCTTGAAGGTGAATTCACACACAGATTAATGTTTAATAACACCACTTCTCTTGATGAGAGAAGAGCTGTGTGAAATCTCCTTTGTGCCAGCCCAGAGGCACAGCTCTGATGGACAATTCAGGACACAAGTCCTCCAGGAGAGAAGAAAAGGGCTGGGATGGGAGTGTGCCAACCCCCAAGGGAAGGCTCAGCACTGCCCAGGACCCTGTCTGATTTCTGAGAGTCCCTGAATTATTCATCTCTGAGAGTAAAAGACTTTGCATTTAAGTGCTTCTTCCTAAACTGAGAACAATTTCTATGTCCCAGTGCCTACCCAAAACCCCTGACTTTGTGTGCTTGGTCAAATCCTCCCTGTTAAATATCTTGTAGTGATCTGGAGCTGTGAGCAGGTCTGACCCTGCAACACCATGGCATCAAAAGCATCCTGCCCTCACCTACAAGGGATTTCTCCTTGCCCACAGCCCTTGTGCCCCAGCCCTGTCAGCAACTCCCCGGGCCGGCTGAGAGCTGCCCCTGGCAGGCAGCAGAGTCCCTGCCCAGCACAGTGCCCTGGGCTGCAGGACCCTGCTCTGCCCCACAGCTCTGGGCACCCCTGGCTGCACCCCTGGCTTCACAGCTCTTCCAACGTGCCCCAAAACAGCCCCTGCTCACCCATCCCATCAGCTGGGGCTGGGCCAGCTTTAGGAGATGCCTCCAGAAGCTGCCCCTGCACTGCCCTGCAGCCACAGACTCACCGTGTGCAGACCTGCCAAGATTCCTCCTGCAGGGAGCTCTCAGCCCTCCTGGCAGTGCTGAGCCCCTTGAAGCTCTGTCTGTGCCCTGTTGGTGTCCCTGAGCTGCCCTGGCAGTGCCCTCAGCCCTGCTGGGCTGTGCAGAGGAGCTGCTCACCAGCAGAGCTGTCTCTCTGCAGTGCTGCCCACTTGCCAGGAGCTCCCTGTGTGCCAGGAGCCCGGCCCAGCTCAGCAGCACAGCAACAGCCCCAGGAATTTAATGACCCTCGAGGGCTTTGGGGATGAGTCCCTGAACATCAGACTCTGAGGAGAGTTGCAGAAACCTCTTGAGAAACCAAAGTTTGATTCAAAATCCAAAGTTTGGGACCCAACAGAGAAAACATCCCCAGGGTCTTGTTAGAGCACAGACCTGGAAACTGTCATGACAGGTCACAGAATCACAGATTCATCAAGGTTGGAAGAGACCTTCAAGATCTTCTAGTTCAACTGTCAACCCAGCACCACAAGAATCACCCCTAAACCTCATCCCTAAGTGCCACACTTTCAGAGACTCCACCACCTGTCTGGGCTACTTGTTCCAATGCCTGAACAGTCTCTCAGTGACCCAAGTGCAGGCCCTGACACTTGGCCTTATTGATCCAGCCTGTCCAGATCCCTCTGCAGAGCCTTCCTGCCCTCCAGCACATCCACACTCACACCCAGATCAGTCAGTCTCCCAAACAGACCATAGTCTGACCACCAGCAGTCCAAGGTGTCAGTTCTGCTGCCC